CCAAAACAAAGCAAATCAACAAAAAAATGTAGAAACGTTTCGTCTCTCGTCCGAGAGACTTCTTCAGTCTGAGGTGCTGTATTCAGCTCAGTCTCTTAAATAGCACCTTCTCAGAGTGGATCAACCGGTTTTGCTGCTGACAACCAAAACCAGCTGATCACATGCTCAAGAAGGACCATCAGCCTAACAATGGATCATTAGCACACTGATGGCTGTGTACTATTCACAGAGGGCTGAGTGATACTAGCAATCACAGCATTGTAAGAGGGGGACAATTGAACACGTAGGCCTCCACCCCTGTTTAACGATGGACGGTTTCTTTTCACAAAGATGGCCTCCTTTACTCCTCTCTCAAACCATTGTTCCTCTCTATCCAGGATGTGCACATCTTCATCCCTGAAAGAGTGACCGCTGAAAGAGTCAACTCTTGAAACTGTGCCTGCAGTCAACCTACTTCACATATTTTATAATTCCTATCAAGCACTCAAATGTCATGTCATATAAAGTGTGTGCGTGTCTTTCTTCCAGGGTTGCACTATATTTATAGAAAATGTTTGCTAATTCTAACTAGTTGACCTTTAAATATAATCTCATATTAGCTAAGGATAATTTTACAATTCACATTTGATAGATTACAAGCAATCAAATCAGGCCAGAGAGCAGACTGATTAACATAAATAAAGTAGAACACATTTCTTTAATTTAGACAATATAGTTTGACTAAATAAGATCCCTCAGGATCTCTCTTAATAATAACCATTAACGTTTAATCATTGTTGAATACAAGAGCTACAACAGCAAAAGTGTAAAAAGGATCAAATAAGAACACGCAAACATGAGTTAGATAACAATTAATAGTTATTAATTATTCCTAGAATATTCCTAGAAATAAACAACTTTAACTCAAATCATTTGATATCACTAAGGTATAATCACGTTAAACAAACAGCTAAAACGAACGATTTCAGTGAGGCAGAACTTCTTATCTGAAATGTAGATATTAACGTCCTTGAGGGGGGCGGGTTAGAGTCGTAACCCTAGCAACAGAAGCTAAACCAATCAGAAAGCTAGCCTTCTCAAACTGTGATAAAAGGCCGGAAATAACACACGCCCACTGAGCATTTCCGGGAGGCGCACACCGAGACGGTTCGTGCTTTAATGCTCCATTTATATGCATATATCTTATTAATGTAATTGTTTGTCTCTGAATATCTGTAACCCATGTTTTGTCAAATAAATCTTTTATACGAAGGGCGACGCCTCAGCCGTCTTGAACATGACGTGGTATTCCAGCCACAACAACCACCAAGTCATTGGTTCAGGTATGTTGACGACACCTGGGTTAAAATTAAATCTCAGGAAGTCCAACATTTTACTGACCACATCAACTCTGTGGATAAATATATCAAGTTCACATGAGAAGATGAAAAAAATGGCAAGTTGGCTTTCTTGGACTGTGAGGTCTCAGTCTCTGATAGAGGACATTTGCAAACTGAGGTGTACC